CATCAAACGTACTATATTTATATTATAGGGATCACAGAAAGACAAGTGAGGTAGAAAGGGACAGAAAATTTAAAGAAATAATGGTGGAAAACCCCCTAACCTGGGGAAAGAAACAGAAACCCAAATACAGGAAGCCTACAGACTTCCAAATAAGGTAAACCTAAAGTACCACACCAAGACACGTTATAACTAAAATACCAGAAGTTAAAAACAAGAAGATAATCTTAAAAGCAACAAAAGAAAAACAACTTTTTATGCAAAAGAGAACTCTCAGAAGAAAATCAGGAGATATTATAGCAAAAAGTTTGTAGGCCAAAAGGCAGTGGCATGGTATATTGAGTGCTGAAAGAAAATAAATTCTAACCAAGAATATTCTATCAGGTAAAGTTATTTAGAACTGAAGGAGAAAGTTTTCCAGAAAAACAAAAGCTGAAGGAGTTCATCACCATTAAACCAGCCTTACGAGAAATTTTAAAGGGACAACTTTAAGCTAAAAAGAAAGGGTATTAATTAGTAACAAGAAAACATATGAAAGTATAAATCTCACTGATAAAGGTAGATATATAGTAAAGGTAGTGGATTAGTCACTTACAAAGCTAGTATGAAACTTAAGATAAATTTGTAACAATAACTATAACTACAAAAATTAATTCTGGAATACATGGCATAAAAAGATGTAAAATGTGACATCACAAACATAAAATGTGGGGGATAATAAAATGTAGAACTTTAGAATTCATTCAAACATAAGTTGTTCTTGATTTAAAATACAATGCTATAAATATTAAGTTATATGTAAGTCTCATCATAACCACAAAGCAAAAACCTATAGTAAATACAGAAAAGAGAGAGAAAGGAATCTGAGCATACCACTAAAGAAAATTATCAAACCACAAAGGAAGAGTGCAACAGAAGAACAGAACAGAGAATTACAGAACTAGAAAACAATTTAAAATATGGCAATAAGTGTAAAACTATCAATAATTACTTTAAATGCAAATGTACTCAATTTTCCAATCAAAAGACTGAGTGGCTGAATGAATTTTTAAAATACTTATTTATATGTTGCCTGCAAGAGACTCACTTCAGATGTAAGAAAATACACAGACTGAAAGTACAGGAATTGAAAGAGATTCCATGCAAATGGAAAGCAAAATAAAACTAGGGTAGCTATACTGATAGCAGAGAAACAGACCTTAAAACAAAGACTCTAATGAGAGACAAAAAAGGGCATTAAATAAAGGGGTCGATCTGATAAGAGTATATAATATTTGTAAATATTTATGCACCCAACATAGGAGTATCAAAAATATAAAGCAAATAGTAACAGACTGAAAAGGAGAAATTGACAACAATACAACAATAGTAGGGGATTTTTTTTAAATTATTAGTTTCAGATATATAGTACATTGGTTAGACATTTATATAGTGTATGAGGTGATTCCCCTGATTACCCTATCCTCTATGTGGCTTTAGACATAGCTATTACTATATTATTGACTATATTCCCTATATTAATGCCACACTCACATCAATAGATTGATCTTCTAGACAGAAAACCAGTAAGGAACATCAGTTTTAAACAACATGTTAGAGAAAATGGACTTAACTAATACCTATAGAACTTTCCATCCAAAAGAAGAATGCACTCTTCTCAAGTGCACAGTGAACATTCTCTAGGATAGATGGTATCTAGGCCACAAAACTAATATTAATAAATTTAAGAAGATTAAAATCATAACAGGCATCTTTTCCAACTATAATCACATGACACTATAAATCAATTTTGAGAAGAAAACTGGAGAATTCACACATATGATGAGATTAAACAACATGTTACTGAGCAATAGATGGATCCAACAAAAAAATCAGGAGGAAATTTTAAAAAATACCTTGAGACAAATAAAAATGGAAATACAGCATACCAAAATTTATGATATGAAGCAAAAGTAGTTATAGGAAGGAAGTTCATAGTGATAAACACCTACCTCAAAAAAAAAAAAAAAAAAACAAAATAAGAAATTTCTCAAAAAAAAGATGTAAATCTAACTTTACACCTCAAGGAACTAGAAATAGAAAAATTAAAGCCCAAAGTGAGTAAAAGGAAGGAAATAACAAGTATCAGAGTGGAAATAAATGAAATAGAGAATAAGGAACGATAGAAAAGATCAATGAAATTAAAAGCTGGTTCTTTGAAAAAATAAAAGAGAATTGACAAACTGTTAGACTCACGAATAAGAAAAAGAGAGATCAAATAATTAAAATCAGAAATGAAAGAGGAGACATTACAACTGATACCAAAGGAATACAAAGGATCATAAGAGATGTAGCAGAGATTATCTCTTTCACATATTGATGATGAACATTTAGCTGTTTCCAGTTTGGGGCTATTAAAAATAAAGCTGCTATGAACATTCACATACAAGTTTTTCTATGGACATATGTTTTGTTGACTTCTAGACCTTAAGAAAGTGATAGAGAAAATATTAGTAATGCAAATTGAACCCAAAAGGGAGTCATGTCTAAAGCCATTACCTGTGAAAAACACACTGAGAAACTCACAAAGTTCTTTTTATTCTGATAGTCTTTAACCTACTCTACTGTCCCATTTAGATACAAATGTGAGATGGTCATCTCTACTAGCAGGATGGATTTTAAGTAACATGTAAATGACTTTGAAAATGTCTACAGGCAAAACAATACAGCAGCAAGCATGCAAATTGTAGATAGGAGTTTTTACATGCACATAACTCAGATTTTAGAAATTCCTGGATAGATTCTAGTTCAGGTTATTTGCCCAATCAATACACAGATCCCTCTCACGCCTTTTGGTAGAGTAGGTACCCACTCCTAGGCACACATTGAGGCTCACTATCTGGCACAAGAGCTGATCATTTTGGGACACTCCTCAGAGTATTGTGTATGATGGTTGGACAGTTTTCCTGCTTTGGTTGTTGACAAAAGGCTTCAGGATATTTATTCAGCATTTGTAGAAACTAGGCTGCTGAAATATCTCTCTCTTGCATTTATTTAACAAGAACCTGTCTGATGGGAGAGTAAAAACATTCCCTGGAGAAATTGCAGTAATAGTCAGTACTCATGTGCAGTGCCAAGGATAGGGCAGATATTGTCATTTTTAATAGACCACCTTGAGGAGGCCTCTTGTTGCACATTGCTGTAATTGTCTTTCTACGGTAAAATCAAACCAGGCCTGAACACTAACATTCTAGGAATCACTGAAAGGTATTTTATCGATATATTCTTTCAACATAGCCCAAAGGAATGACAACCAGAATTTATATGTATAAATGTATATACTGGTAGTTTTAGCAAATGTGATTCCTTGTAATAATGTTTTTCAGTCTCTGGATTTTCTGTCATGTAGTCTGACATTCTTTAATGCCTTCAATTTCAGAAATGATGA